GGTGTCACAATCAGAGGTGACTTCATCACCACGTTGCCCTTGGACAGTCCAGCTATAAAGGTTACACTGTTTCTTATCCCAGTGATGACAAGCTAGCTGAGGATCTGGTTCATGACAGTAAGATAATGAGCCCCCTTCATAAAAATCGCACTTGGCTGTAAAGCCCTTGAGCTCAAGCATGTCCTGTCCTTCATGAGGCAGGTGTTTATAATGCTGAAGGATGGGGACATATCTTTGAAAACCACCCTCATCCTATTGGGTGAGCAGAAGTATGTGGTATACCTCTCCATGGGGAAGACCATGTGTTTTCACTGCCCAGTGACCACTTTACACAATGCCCAGTGAAGAAGCAGGCTATAACAAGGAAATTCCCACCCATGCACAGGGGAACAGCCCTACCCCAACCCGGTGTGAGGAACAGAAGGGAGAAACCAAACCCCTACTCACAGTGTGCACCTGCCTTTTCTGGAGCTATTGGCACCAGGAAGACAGATTCTCATCCACCCCATCCAACCCATTCAGGTGAAATCTTGATGCCTATTGCTGGAGCTGAACCCCAACAGCAAGGAAAACCTGCCCCAACCAGCCCAAAACTGTCCCAGGACTTTCCCTTCACTCCCAAGAAGCTAATCTCCCCCAACCCAGCCCCTAAGTATAAAGATCAAAAGTAGGAGGTCCATTCTGGGCCCAGTTTTGTTTATTATCTTCCTTAAGGATTTGGAGGATGGAATGGTATGCATGCTTAACAAATTTAAAATGATATCAAATAGAGTTGAGATGCAGACACTCTGGAAGGCAGGGATAGGATTCAGGATGACCTTGGTAAATTGGAGAAATTGTCCAAAAATCAAACGAGTCAGATGGGTCGCCAATTGGCTAGAGGGCTGCACCCACAGAGTGGTGGTGGACAGGTCATTTTCAACCTGGAGGGATGTGGGCAGTGGGGTCCCCCAGGGCTCAGGCCTTGGGCCCGCACTGTTCAACATCTTCATCAGCAACTTGGATGGGGGTGTGAAAAGCACCTTGTTCAAATTCACAGATGACACTAAGATGTGGGGAGAAGTGGGCAAGCTAGAAGGGAGGGACAAGCTGCAATTGGATCTGGACAGGTTACAGGGGTGGGCAGATGAGAATAAAATGGGATTCAATACTGACAAGAGTAGGGTACTACCTAGGGAGAAAGAACCACAGCATACCTACAGGCTGGGGAACTCCCTTCTCATCAGCACAGAGGCAGAAAAGGATCTTAGAGTCATTATAGACTCCAAGATGAACATGGGCCGCCCATGTGGGGACGCGGTCAGGAAGGCCAACCGCACCTTGTCATGCATCCACAGATGCATCGCGACCAGGTCCAAGGAGGTGATCCTCCCCCTCTATATGACATTGGTCAGGCTGCAGTTGGAGTACTGCATCCAGTTCTGGGTGCCGCACTTCAGGAGGAATGTGTACAGCATCGAGAGGGTCCAGAGGAGGGCCACTCGCATGATCGGGGGCAGCAGGGCAGGCCCTATGAGGAGAGGCTATGGGACCTGAACCTGTTCAGCCTCCACAGGAGAAGGCTGAGAGGGCATCTGGTGGCTGTCTATAAACTGACCAAGGGAGACCAGCAGGCAATGGGAGAATCTCTGTTCCCCTGAGCAGTACCGGGAGTAACAAGGAATAATGGCCATAAGTTGACAGACAGTAGATTCAGGCTAGACGTCAGGGGGCACTACTTCACAGTCAGGGAGGCTAGGATCTGGAACCAACTTCCAAGGAAAATGGTGCTCACTCCTACCCTGGGGGTCTTCAAAAGGATGCTAGATAGACACCCTGCCGGGGTTGTTTGACCCCAGCATTCTTTCCTGCCCATGGCAGGGGGTTGGACTTGATGACCTGCTCAGGTCCCTTCCAACCCTACCAACTATGAAACTATGAAAGCCAGGACTCAGAAACTTCAGCCCAGAAAAATATGGCCCTTAAGGGAGCTGGGGTTGATATAAACCTTGAAAAACTAATCACAAGGGAAGGAAGAGACCCAGAGATGATGACAGCCCTGGTGGGAAGGTGACTCCCTCAAAGCCTCAGCCCCATCTTTCTCCCACAGTCCCAAACCCTTCCTGCTCTGAACCAGACACTGACTCTGAATCTGAGGATGAGGAGAAAGAAAGGGAAACTATGGGTTCTGATGATGATGTGCTGGAGAGTCCCCTTCCCCACAATCAAAGAACAAAACTATTATCCTTTAGTGAGGGTATGATGCACACTTGTAGGAGAACCACTAGTCCTTGGATGCTTTCTTTGGGGATGCAGTCAAGGAAGGTTACTGCCTTGAAAGCATGATATTAAGTTCCTTGATGATACCAAGGGATCCTGGAAGGTTGAAAACCAAATACCAGAACATTTACTCTGATGGTAAATGTTTCCTATTCTTTACTCATAGAGCAACAAAGAAACTGCCAGCTGAGGAAGCAACACAACTCTGCCCCATGACTGCCAAGGGCAATGTTCTGGGCTATCCTAGATGATGCATAAAACTTCCTTCTTGCTCCATGTTTCTTCTGTGTTTGCTGTCACCCTCTCAAACCTCTCACAATGCTGATTTTTACTCCTGGCTCACTCGGCGTAAATGGATGTTGGGACCTGCGAAAGTGGGCAATTTTCTCTGAGTACCTGAACCAGAAATAATTAGACTTTGCCTTGTTCCATGAGACACACATGGATCGGACTAATGAAGCAGACTGGCACAATGGATGGAGGGGAAGAGCCCTCCTCAGCTACAGCACCAGCTGCTTCATGAACATTGTTATCCTCCTTTCACAAAAAGTGAGACTGGTTTCAGGAGTTGCCTGGGAAATCATCTCTGGTCATCTACTAATGGTCCAAGCCACTTACGAGTAGCTCCCCCTCATCCTAATTAACTCCCAATGAAGACCAAGAGACAGTATGCTTTTTCAGGATGCTGGCTGGCCTCTTGCACACTGTAGCCAATGACAATGACCTCCTTGTCCTCCTTGTGGATCTCCTTCATATCACTGATCACCGCCTGCCTCTGCTTTTCTGCAGCCCTATTACTCCGTCAGGACTCTCAGACCACAGCCTAGTCTGGTGTGAACTGGGCTTTTCTGATCTGACTCACAGCTGAGCACCCTACTGGTGTCCCAGTGTTAGCCTCCTAGAGGACACCCACTTTCAGGACTACTTCACGTACCTGCAGCAGAGTTTGAGAAGCAACTTTCTTCTGTCTGAGCAGGCAACCCAAGCCTGCTGCCAAAGTGTGCAGGAGCTCAAGAAAGGTATCCTGGATCTTGAGGCTGCCCTGAGGGATACCAGTAATGACCATGGGCTGTCTGAGAACCTCAAGCTCCAGAAGAAGCATTTGAGATAAATGGTGGAGGGCATGGTCCAAGGCATAGGGGCATCTAAGAACTCACAGAGACCCAGTTCCTTTTCAACCTAGAGAAAAAGTGCACAGAACAAAAGATGATCAGCCTCCCTAAAACCCCATCGGGCCAGGTGCTAACAGACACTGCTGAGATCCGAGAGCATCCATTAGTTTTTATATGGAGCTGTTTACAGCTGAGACTGCCTGCCCAGAGACCATTCAACACATGCACAAAGGCTTCCCCAATCTCTCCTTGTCTGAGGCTGACAAGTTCAAACAGGAGCTATCCTTAGCAGAGCTGATTGATGCCATTGAGGGCCTCAGCACAGGCAAGGTGCCAGACCTTGACAGATTACCTGTCAAATTCTACAACACTTTCTGGCCCATCCTCTACCCAGACCTCCTGCACATCTTCTGTGAGAGCTTCAAAGATGAGATCCTACCGGTCAGCTGCCAGCAAACAGTCCTCATGCTACTTACTGCCCATGCTTTGGGGGTGCTGGGATTTCAATCTCTGATGATATAAGTGTATTTGTTCCAACAAGATTCATGCTCAGCCCCTGGAAGGGCCACATACTTTTTGCACTTTCTCCTTCTGTTTGTCATATTTTTATTTTAAAGGTTTAAAACATCAAAAAGCCTCTTATACTCACACACATCCCAAAACTGTTATTCTCACTGCTTGCCCTGTTAAGCGTTTAAAGCCACACCAAGCTCCATGTTGCATTTGTATCCAGGGAGAATGGAATAGGCTTTCGGACTCAGTGCTCCTTTTGGCAATAGGTGGTAGACACCATTCCTCTTTCCTTCATGGAACAAATATCTTATTCAGAAAGGGGAACCCTTCCGTAGGTCTAAGTGGCTTTTTAGGACCCCTTTACATAGTTAATACTAAAGAAGTTATTGTTAGTGTAAGGGCTAAAATAAATGGGGTTTGTGCTGCAAGCTAAATCTGGCATTGTGTATTTATTTTAAAGGTAGCCACTGTACTTTTTTCAGATTGCTTTTCTCTCTCCCTCTCAAAAAAGATGGTGTAGATTGATGGTATTGGCAGGGCAACACAAGGACTGCAGATGCCAGCACCATGCCTTGTCTGAACAGAAAACTTTCTCCTTTCACAAAAGCTATACAAATGCTCAGTCATCTATTCCCCAGAAGAAATAAGGGGCAAATTATCTGAGTAGTTGGCAGGCTGCCATATGACTAAAAGGATTAATACACTGTATTTATATTTTGATTCCTGACCATTTTATAACAGCCAATTTCAGGTCTCTTTAAAGGGCAATGTGCACTGCTACAAGTAAAAAAAGAAAGACAGAACTGAGAAAACATCCAATGACAGTTAATGAGAAGGCTTCTCTGAAAAGAAAATAGTTTGTGCTTACTTTTTAATTAACTAGCACCAGATGAGTTCAAACCAGACACATCAAGGGCATGAGCGAGTGAATGAGCCAACTGCAATAAACTTGCCCTAAACATGGGGGCTTTAGAAAACAAATGTCTTAATTTGCTTTGTCATTTTGTGCTCTGATACTGTTGTGAAACTTCTATAACACCCTGGTGAATAGCTATTACATTTGCAATTCTCTTCCTGCCATGGCTTTTTGAATTCTTTGCCTGTACCACCCTCTAGTGACCTGAAAGTGATGTAACACAGCAAGAAATACCCAAATGTCCTCAATGAAGTAAGACAACAGTTATTATTTATGGGAAAACTTAGGAGCCCCGTGTCATGTAGCAGGACCCCACTGAGCCAACAGTACATTTCAGATGAGGCTTTGTTTTAAAAGAACAATATTAGGTAAGTTATATTTTATTTTCCATAAAACTTCTTTCCTTGGAAAACTGTTTCCATGCACTTGCTCAACTGTGAATCTCACTATTGGTTTGGAGATAAATTACATCGCTAGCCTTCCCTGTTTTCGGTGCATTTTATATTCTAATTGTCCAGTTGGAGGAAGTAGATGCAGCTTGTGTTAAATCCCTGTCATGTCTGGTCTAAATTCTATATCTATATTCATTAATTAATCCACATGCCATAGTCAGTTTATACAAATCTAATTGTGCCACACAGAGCTAATCCTACTCATAAGAACATAATCTTTTTCCTGAACCATCTCACAGAAGTTCAGGGACTGCTCAATAAGAGTATACTTTAAGGAAGACAAATGCATAAATGAATAAATCCTGATGAGAGAACATTTAGGCAGTTGTTGACAGGCCTATAGTAATCAATTGGTAAACACTGTGTGTCTATTGAGCATTTACAAGTATATTGGCATTTCTCCTGTTTCAGGTCTCTGTGTCAGCTGAGCCTCAATTATAAAAGGTAATTATTGTAGAAGGTAACAGTGATGGCCAGCAGCCAATGCAATTATTTAGATCCCACTGACAAGGACTACTAATGCAGCAGCACGTAGGAAAACTGTAATTCATAGGATGTGAATCAGATTGCTTTCCCTTACAGTGAAAAAGGTACATTGTACAAGGACATGCAGCTGCCCCAAAACAGACTGCTACTGCCCTACTGATCTGAAGCCAAGGACATAAATGATCTGACTTAATTTAAAATTTAGTAGTTGACCAACAAATATTGAACATGAAAGACTTCCCATACACCAGCCAATGCCATACTGGTATCAGTGAATGAAACTTAACTATTTTTCCACTAATTTTCTGAAGTACACCTTGGTGTTAGCTACAGGGGATGACCTGGTGGGGAATCTGCAGGTACAAGGTAACCTAGGGGATAGTGACAATAGATCGATTGAATTCACTATCCGGCAAAGGGTGGGTAAACTAACCAGCAGGGCTGAAATGCTAGACTTCAGAAAGGCTAACTTCACTAACCAATTTCCTGAGTACATTGAGGCATTAAAGCTCAAGAGCATTGGCAAAATGGGGGTCCAGGAAGGGTGGTTATTCCTCAAGGGAGTGATCCTACAGGCACAGAAAGAGACAATCCCATTGCACATAAAAGGGGGCAAAGGGGCCAAGAAGCCCTCTTGGCTGAACAGGGAAGTCCAGGAAAGCCTAAAGGCAAAGAAAGAGGCTGTGGAAACAGAGGGTAGCAAGGAGGAGTATACCTCCCTGGCTCGCACTTGCAGGGACCCAGTTAGGAAGGCCAAAGCAGGATTAGAATTTAGGCAGGTGACAAAAATTAAGGATAACAAAAAGTCCTTCTTCAGATATATAGGGAGCAAGAGGAAGGTGCAGGATAGCATAGGCCTACAGAACAAACTAGTAATTGGTGACAGAGAGTGGGAACAAAGCTGAGCTCTTCAATGAGTTCTTTGCATCTGTATTCCTAGACACAGACCAAGACAAATCTCCCAATTGGATCAGAGATGGACACAGGAGGGATACCAGCCCACCAGCTGTTAGCACAGGATTAGTAAAAGGGCACTTGGAGGGGCTGGATGTGTTCAAATCAGTGGGCCCAGATAAACTTCAGCCAAGGGTGCTGAAGGAATTGGCCAGTGTCATAGCAGAGCCACTGGCATGGCTGTTCAAGCACTCATGCTGCTCTGGTCAGGTCCCAGACGACTGGAAAAGGGCCAATGTGGTCCCTATTTTCAAGAAGGGGAGGAGGGAGGAACCGGGAAACTAGGCCAGTTAGTCTCACCTCTATCCTTGGGAAAACTCTTGAAAAAATCATTAAGGATCACATTTGTGGGAGTCCAGTGGGGGAAATAATGCTAAAAGGAAATCAGCATGGGTTCATTGCAGGTAGATCCTTCCTGACTAACCTTGTTTCTTTTTAAGTGCAGGAGTCGAGGTAGATGTCATCTACCTAGACTTTAAGAAGGCCTTCGATATGGTATCGCATTCTGTTCTCGTAAATAAACTGACAGGCTGTGATGTAGATGATTGCACGGTCAGGTGGGTGACAAACTGGCTTAGGGGTTGCACCCAGAGAGTGTTGGCGGATGGGTCATTATCGATGCACCCAGAGAGTGTTGGCGGATGGGTCAATATCGACCTGGAAAGATGTGGGCAGTGCAGTCCCGCAAGGTTTGGTCCTCGGACTGGTGCTATTTAATATCTTCTTCAGTGACTTGGACAAGGGCATAGAGAGCACCCTGTCCAAGTTCGCAGATAATACCAAATTATGGGGCAAAATTAACACACCAGAGGGTAGGGAACGGATCCAGGCAGATCTGGACAGGTTGGAAAAATGGGCAGAATGAAACAGGATGCAGTTCAACAAAGACAAATGCAAAGTGCTGCACCTGGGCAAAAAGAACCACCAACACACTTACATGCTGGGGGATGACCTGCTCAGCAGCACAGAAGTGGAAAAGGATCTTGTGGTCATAGTTGACTCCAAGATGAACATGAACTGTCAACGTGATGAAGTGATCAACAAGGCTAATTGCACTTTATCATGCATTAGCAGATGCATGACGAACAGGTCCAGGAAGGTGATGCTTCTCTATGCGGCACTGGTCAGACCACAGTTGGAGTACTGCATCCAGTTTTGGGCATTGCACTTCAAGAGGGATGCAAAGAATCTTGAGTGGGTTCAGAGGAGGGCAACCCTGTATAGTCAGAGGCCTGCAGGCAAAGCCTTACAAGGAGAGACTGAGGGACCTAGATCTCTTCAGCCTTTGCAAGAGAAGGCTGAGAGGTGATCTTGTGGCTGCCTATAAATTCATCAGGGGAGGGCAAGAGGGAATAGGAGATGATCTATTTACTAGGACATCCCCTGGAGTAACTAGGAACAATGGTTTCAAATTGATGGAGAGCAGATTTAGGTTGGACATTATAAAGAACTTCTTCATGGTAAGGGTTGCCAGAATCTGGAATGGACAAGGGAGGTGGTGCTCTCCCCTAACTTGGGGGTCTTCAAGAGAAGACTCGACAAGCACCTAGCAGTGCTTTTTCCTGCCCAGGGCAGGGGTCAAACTCAATGATCTACTGAGGTCCCTTCCAACCCTAACATCTATGAATCTTTGAAAATATCTCAACATATCTATCTATATTTGTGTGTGAGACTTGTTAATTGTCAACTCCATGCTGAAATACAAAAGAAGAATTTGGTTTCTTGAATTTAATGAGCATTCCTCGAAAGTGAGAAAGTACAAAGGTAACTTTGAAACTCTCCAAAGTTCAAGGACCATCAGCTCTAAAGGCCATGATAAATGTTATACTTTACAACCTGGTAATGTATTACAGCCTGTAACATGATACACATGCATGGGGTGATATCTCGTTTAGGGGACTAAACATCATTTGAGAACTAAAGTTCAACGGACATGGTTTAGCTGAACCAGATGTAGTTGAACCAGGTTCTGTAACTGGTTTTGTAACATCTGTCACATTAGGGTCTGTCTGCATTGAGAGTTGTGTAGTTCATCCATCAGGTGTAGCTCCAGAGCTTGTAATTTCTTATCTCCATGCTTCCTTGTTGTAGAATGGGTGTGAGTGAGGTTAAATAGATAAAACCAGGTTCTGCTGGTTTTGCTGGAAATGCAAAGTACTCAATTATCACCTTGGTATTTACCAACTTGAAAATTCAAGTAACCACTTGAGCTAGTAGGTTTCAGTAGTGGGATCCTAGACAGTCCTTAAGCTATAGACTTGATCCTCAGTGCCCTGGTCTGCCTCCCCATCCCCTGCTCTAGATTGTGCCATGGGCGAGGAGGCAGCCCAGCTGTGGTCTCACCGAGGCTGAGTAGAGAGGGAGGATGACATCCTTAGCTGTGCTCAAGATGCCTCAATAGATGCATGCCAGTGTTTGATTAGCTCTTGATTAGTTACAGCATCATATTAGTGGCTCATGCTCATTTTGTGGTCTGTTATGACACCCAAGTCTTGTTCACCTATGGTGCTGGCAAGCGTATCACTGCTGAGCTTGTAAGTGTGTTGGGGGTTATTTCTCCGCAGATGGAGCACTTTACATGTCTCTGTATTAAACACCATCAGGTTTAAGTCCGCCCACCTCGCAAGTGTGTCCAGGTCATCCTGTATGGCCAGCCTGTCCTCGAGCGTGACCACGCTCCCCCATAATTTGGTGTTGTTTGCAAACTTTGCCACCTCACTTTTAATACCCAGATCCAAATAGTTGATGAACATGTTGAAAAGCACTGATCCAAGTACTGAACCCTGAGGGTCAACAGTCACCTTCCACCATGTTGACTCAGTTCTATCAATCAATACACTCTGGGTCCTACCTCAGAGCCAATTACCTAGCCACTGGACTGTAAAGTAGTCAAGGCTGCATTTTCCCAATGTTACCATGAGGACATCATGGGAGATTAGGTTGAAGGCCTTGTTGTAGTCCAAATATACTACATCAACCTCATTTCCCCTATTCAGGTGGTAAATTACCTGATCATAGAGGGAAATGAGGTTGGTCAGGCATAAACTACCTATAATGAAGACATGTTGGCTATCCTTCAGAAAACTGACTTCTGTTAGCCTAACAGTAATGCATTCTTTGATAATTTTTTCCATGATTTTACCAGGGATTTAGGTCAAACTGATTGGCCTGTAATTCCTCAGGTCCTCTTTTCTCCCTTTCTTGAAGATAGGCACCATACTGGCCCTCTTCTAGTCTTCTAGGACCTCTCCCGAGCACCACAAACCTTCAAATAACTGCCATAGGTCACGCAATGAAGTTGGCCACTTCTTTTAGCACTCGGGTGTAGTTCAGCCAATCCTGCTGACTTCTAGATATTTAACCTCTCTAGGTGCTCCCCCACAAGATCTTCATCAACTATGGGAGGGTTGATCATCCTGTATCCTGTCAAGCAGGCTAACACCCTTGGACTTGTGGAATACCAACGTGAAGTATTCATTCAAGAGTTTGGTTTTGTCCTGAGTGTCGGTTATCAGCCATCCCATTTCGTTCATCAGGGCCCTTATGCTTCCCTTATTTTTTCTCCAACTTCCTACATATCTAAAGAAGGACTTTTTGTTGTCCTTGATTCTGATTGCCAATTTGTATTTGGTTTGTGCCTTTGCAGTCCTAATCCACTCCCTACAGGTGCAGGCTATTGCTAAGTACACCTCTTTGGTGATTATTTCTAACTTCCATCCCTCGTAAGCTTCTCTTTTTAATTTCAGGAGGTCCATAACTTCCCTATTGAGCCAAGGGGATCTACCAGCCCTTTTGCTGCCTTTCTTATGAATGGGAATGGATTTCCTTTGTGCTCCTAGGATCACTTCCTTGAGGAACAACCACTCTTCTTGTACTCCCTTCCTCATCAGACCATGGTCCTGCAGGGCCTCACCTATCAATCTCCTAAACTTATGGAAGTCAGCTTTCCTAAAATCAAGGATTTCTACCCTACTGTCTGATTTCCCTGCCTTATGGTGGATAGAGAAAGTGGTCATCTCATGGTCACTGTCACCTAGCTTCCCTTTGATCCTCAGGTTGCTCACTAGATTGTCCCCTTGGGCAGAACCAAGTCTAAGAGTGCCTTGCCCTTGGTCAGCCCATAGACTTCTTGAGTTAGATAGAGCTCTTCAATGCAAGTGAGGAAGCTTTGTGAGCGATCAGATCTTGCTGAGTGCTCATCCCACGAGATGTCTGGGTAGTTGAAGTCACCCATGATGACCATGCTCCAGGAGCATGCAGCCTCTGCCAGTTCTCCAGAGAATTCCTGATTGAGCTCTTCCTCTTGGTTTGGAGGTCTGTAGTAAAATCCTACAGTCAAATCCCTTTCTCCATGCTCTCCCTGTATCTTGACACAGAGGGTCTCAAGTTGCCCTTCTATGCTTCCAATCTTCGCTTCTAGGGAGGTGTAATGTTCCTTCACATGGAGAGCAATTCCTCCACCCTTCTTCCCAACAAGATCCCTCCTATATAGGGTATATCCCTCTACACCTGTGGTCCAATCATAGGTGGAGTTCCACCAGGTCTCTGTTATCCCTATGAGATCATATTACTTGTTGGTTAGCAGAAGGGCCAGTTCCTCCTGCTTGTTTCCCATGCTTCTGGTGTTTGTGTACAGGCAACTAAACCTACCATTGGAAGCCCTAGGCTTCCTGGTGAGCTGTGGAATAACCTGTCCTTTGGCCAGTGTCAGAGTATGCTTCCTATTGTACCCTGGTATTCTGGTTTCAAGGTTGCCATTTCTTGGGCTTTTACTAGTCGTTGTTGGCCCCTGGTTGGCCCCCTCAGTTTAAAGTTCTGCTAGTTCTTTGCCAGGAATCATGGCAAGTTCTGCAAACTGAAATCCTCCAGATAAAGATGGTTCTGTTATGCCCTGTTAAATTTACCCTTATGCTAACCCGCAATAATTTTACCCTTATGATAACTAGAAATACAGGCTGCTATATCCAAAATAAGAATGCTCACACAGCCTTTAAATTTTACAACCAAATGGATAGAAACTGGAAGGCTAGTACATAGGAGGAATTAGTGAGTAATTAACTTGGTAATTGCTACCATTGTGAAGTCAAGTAGCCCCTTGACAACAAATAATGGTGGGATGGCCATCTCCTCCCCACCTCCTCCCCACCTCAAAAAAGAAACCAGGCTCAGAATAGCAAGCAAATAAATTTTATTCTTTACAGAGAAGAAAGCTTTAATTTACTTTATATACATACATATATACATACACACACATATTATTAATTACAGCTAAATTAAAGCTAAGCTATTAAAGCCAACTATTTAAATCTTAAATATTTAAGCTTTTAATATTCATTTATTTATTTAAGATTAAGTATTTAAGCTTTCAGAGTATTTAAATTAAAGTTAAGTAATTCAAACTAAATTAAAATTCAAAAGATATATTTTCTGTCTAGAACAATGCCACCTAGAGCATAAGAATTCAAACTACATGAATCTACTCTGTAAAAAATATTGTGGCATGTAAGTGCCATCCAGTGGCTCTACGACATACATAACTTAATACACATGATCAAATGAATGTCTACCATGCCTCTAGACAGCGTATGCAACTAAATTGGATGCAGCTGACTCCACATTTAGATAAATCACTTGCATGTGCATCGAGGCCATCCGTTCCTGTCTGGCACCATCAACTCCCTATGCAGTAACTTGCAAGTTGTTTGCTCTAATGAGCATGTGAGGCAACTAAAGCTTCTCTTCAGGTTGTGCCTATAACAGTATCACTCTGCAGGATGTTTGTGAGAAGATGATTTGACTTCATTCCCTCCTCATACAGAAATTCTATGAATTTCCAAGTATGATCCATCTGAAATCCATCTGTAACTGAGAGCAAATACTTAACCTGCTCTGGAAGGTGGTGCCTCTATCTCCTCTCAGGTCAATAACTGACTGATATTTAAGCAGCTGAGATTTTGAATCCCAAGAGGACAGTGAAGAAACACTAAATGCTATGTCTACACCATGGTTAACCTGTAAGTTGAATCCATTTAAGGAAGTAGACTTGATGAGCCTTTCAAATGGGCATTTACTCACTTAGAGACTAAGTTTTAGAAGACATTAGATTACCAGTCTGAGAACAAGTAGTGCTTCAAATCAGTTACACCAGAAACCACATGCTGTAATTGCAAGCATCCTCCAGGTAGGAGCTGAATATTTCAGTTCTGAATTTTAGCTGAATGCTATTCAGATGTCATGCAGCAAAGTGATTTATCACTCCACAGTATTTGCTGCTCACCATGTGACCTCTATCTAGCCTTCATTTGATGCTTCCATTATCAGGCATTCATCATGTCTGCATGAAATGTAATGGAGCTCCTACCCCATTTGTCAAGAGGGGGGAGCCAGGGAGCAACCGGCTGGCTCCAAGGTTCTGGAGGAACCAGTATATATGCAGAATCCTTTAAGAAAAATGACTGCTTTCTCCAGGTGCAAGAAGCATAATCAGGACTATGATTGCAAGGCCTGGCGAGGAAGTGGTTGGACAGGTGACCCAGGCTACAGACTGCATAAAGCTAGAACCATGGCTGAGGACCAGGACTAACTCTAATCTACCAGAGCAAAAGAGGTCCAAATCACGGAGTCTGAGAAGAAGCCCTGCAGCACCAGGCACCAAAGCTAAGTTATTTTGGTTATGTGTTTATTTTTTATCATCATGGGTGGGGATGGGGGATTTCCGCCAGGCTAGAGAAAATAATTTAGTTTGGAAGTAGCCTTCTTGTACCTATGTTTATGTTTGCAACCAGAGGACCAGAAGCAGCTTCAAGGGGAGGCTTGGAGGCTGTAGGGAGCACCTAGAGATGAGCTGCTGCTTTGCTAGAGGTCCAGACTGAGGATTGAGGAGCAGAGCCTGCAACCAAACAGACTGTTTGCATAAGCCCTGACCCCAAAGAGACAGAGAGTGAAAGAGGGCCTGAAGCCGAAAGACTGTGTGCACAAGCCCTAGGCTGAAATGGTAAGACTAGAGTCCAGAAGTCAAGATCCAGGGCAGTGGACCTGGGCTGAGGGGCACATCCAGAGTAAGAGGGGCAAGGCCAAGGCCAAAGCCCAGACAAAGATTTAAAGCCTGAAGGGCCAAGTGCTTCAGGCTTTAAATCTTGAACAGGCAGGGGACAATGTTCTCCAGATAGAGAGACTGTGCAGTATGGCAGGGCTCCAAATCAAGCCAACCCAGTCAAGCCTGAAGAGATGCTAAGCAGAAAGGGTGCCCAAGCCCACTGAGCTCTAAGGGCAGCCTCCCTGTTTGACTTTAAAATCAAGATGTGGTAGGCAAGACAGCAGGGAGGACCTCTGAGAGGTCAGGTGCGCAAGTGGTGTTAGGGAGTATCCAGTTGGCCACTAGGGGGGGGCAATGCAGCCACCCTCAGGGTCTGACCTGCTACACATGTATACAAACATATTAATTAATTAATAAACCTGGTTCACCCTGTTATATTGTATTTTATGATCTCAGGAATTTTAAAAGGAAAGTCAATGATGAGTCTGATGATCTCTGTGGAAAATCCAGGTGTATCTTCAAGTTCTTTTAGCATTTTGCAAGAGATGTGAGATGGGTTCAGAAATCAGCTACAACATAGTAACTAAAAGTGGTGAAAAAAAAATCGCTAACCTTAACAGTGTATAAAGCATCTTTCAGCCAAACATTTTCCAAACTTGCAAGAAGTTTCAGTAACTGTAGTTGCAATTGAGATAACTGAGATTAGGGCACAACTAGCTTAGGCCTAGTACCATTGACTATTGATGACTAGAAAATTATATTTAGAGGTTTGCTTATAGAAATTGGCTGGTAGGTAACGTAGATATTGCATTAAAACAACAGCCCAGGGGAATGCCAAGGGTGAATTGATTTCAAAAAGCCTGTTTGTGGACCTTGAAGGAAACTTTGTCACAGTGTCTGAAACCAGCAGACACTGTGTCTAAGGCCAGTGTATACAGGCTATGAAATTGGAGATATGTTCCACACTGTTCCATAACATGAAATAAGGGACTCTACTGTGGTGGCCAGGTCACAGTGACCAACTGGAGAGCACTTGGGATTTCCAGTTTTGGTAGATGGACCAAATTAGGATCCCACTAAATGACCAAATTAAAATGGGTACATGTGATGGGCTTGAGAAACAAAGGAATATGCTGATAGGACAGAACATGGACAGTATGATGACCACAGGGAAACCAATCAATGGTATCCAGAGATGAAAAGACATTGAGAGGGAAAATACAAAAAGAGGGGTGTCTGAGCAACAAAGGGTCCCCATGAGGGGAACCTGAGACTACCATCGACAGAGGGTGTATCACCAGCCCATTTCACCCACCCCATTTGTGGGGGGGGGGCCTTGGCCCTCGACCTCCAGGCTGCTGATTGCTCACATTCAAAGAGAGAGAACCAGATGGTGAAGCTCACTTACTGGCCAGAGGTACTTTCCCTCTGTGAACCCTAGGACTGGTAGATATAGAATCAGGTGGGGGAGGGGGGTATTTTGTTTGCCTAGCCTACATTATTCTTATCTGCTATCACTGTGTATCAATAAAATTTGCCTATTATTGAATGAAGAAGTCCTGGTCAGTCTGAGGGTTTGGGTCCACCTGAAAAAAGGTATCTGGGTCATAAATCTAGTGCCAACACCTACCATGAGTCCCTGCTCCAGGTGAGTCCAAACAGGCAAAGATAGTAGGTGGGAACAAAACCCAGGGGTGAAGTGACTTGCCCAAGATTAGAAGTTAGGCCAGTCACAGAGTCAGGAATAGAATCCAGGTCTTGTATGCTCTGCTTCACAGGAGCTGAGAAATGGATCAGGACTGAACCCTTACAGGAAAAGGCTTTCACACTTCTCCAGGAAGGGAGAATTGGCTTAAGAGAAACATTTTGTAAAAGAGAAAGGAAAGGAAAGCAAGAGAATTAGCAACTAGGATAGGAGGTTAAAATCAAAATTGTCCCTTGTTGTAGGGGAATTAGAGAGAAAAGAATTAACTGGGAGGTTGGCTGAGTAAAGCTACTTGTTTTGAAAAGCAAATATGAGATGTCCTACTGGCAGAAGGCATTGGTATTAAATAAGATATAGGCAGCTGAAAGTACGCTACGGGACTTTGCTAAAGGAGAATGGCCAAGCTGAGATGGTTGCTGGAGTTGTAAAATGATTTTAGTGGCTGAATTAATGGATCAGATCACAAGGAAGTTTACTAGAGAGCCAACCAGCAACAAGGGTGTACTAGGTATGGGGTGAGGTATAGGAAGATCATACAGAAGTAATGTTTTCTCTGTGCTCTAAGTATTAATCACCAAAAGTGATAAGATTGTCCGTTTGAATGATCGCACCAAATGTAGCCCAGTGTCTCCTGATATCAGGCTGGGATATCAGTTCTGACTGAGGAGGAGGAAACTCCTACCAAATCATCAATACCGTCTTTTGCAATTCATGGCATATGTTACTCAGAAGAGAAGAGAAGGAATCCTCCACAGCCCTTAGTACTTACAGCCATAACTAGGAACAGCACAGTCCGAATACTGCTCGCTCTCTCTCTCTCTCTCACACACTCCTTTTCATGCCTAGCTCAGAAGCAGCTAGTTTGTTCATCCAGCAGAGGGCACCATGCTACTTCTCTATCTGTTTTGCACTCCTGCTTTCCATTTCTCCTACACAATGAAGGCAAACACAAATGTTATATTTGTCTTCACATTCAACTCTTT